GTGATTATCTCAAATAGAAGACTCAATCCCACTTATTTTGATTGAGTGATTTGTAAGCTGACATTTTTAGGATGGGTAATCATACTGACTTTTATCCAAAATTGGCTGAGTAAGCATTTAATACACTGACATTACTTTTATTAAGTTTTTACATATATTCAGTCATTTTACATATATTCAGTCATTTTACATATATTCAGTCATTTTACATATATTCAGTCATTTTTTTCTGATGTTCTGTGAATGATCTTAAAGAATAATCTTACATGAATGATCTTAAAGAATAATCTTACATGAATGATCTTAAAGAATAATCTTACATGAATGATCTTAAAGAATAATCTTACATGGCTTCTTTTTTTTTTTTTTTCTTAGTAACTCTGGTCATCCTATGAAACTGTTGTTTAACCTTATTGAAATTTTATTTCAGATTAGACACCCCTGGGAGATAGAATGCCATGTAGACAAGAATGAGCATGTTTGACATTTTCTTTGCTTTCCTTTTAATCAAGGTCACACAGTTGCTAAAGCAGATTTGTACTGTGTATGGAGATGACTTCGTTATCAATAGAATGGCACAGATATGATTTTCGCATTCCAAGTTTGGAAATTCAAACTCACAGACTGACCGCTTTCTGGCCAACCTGTTCAGTTTGATGACAACCAATTGCATGTACAGATTAAAGAAGAAGCATGTGAGACCACAACGGAATTGGGTCAGATTATGGCAGCTCTCGTTTCTATGGATCATCATCTTCACTCAATGAGTAATGTCCAGAAATATGGCACATGCCACATGACCGAGAGAAAGAAAATCCAGCACTCTTCTATCACCACCAGTTTACTCATTCAACATTAGGTTACTCCTGGATACAAAGAAAGAACTCTGTTAGGAAGTTATGCCACACCCACCATATTCCCCTGGTTTAGCCCATTCAGACTACCACATTTTTAAGTTATTTTCTAACAATTTGAGGAATGTTTCATCCAACAACAATGCAGGGCTTAATACATGGCTTGATGGATCTTTCAAGTCAAAATGTAGTGATTTCTGTTGTCAAGTCATTGAACAATTAGTGGATCATTGGCAGAAGATCATAAGCAATGAAGGGGAATACATTGTTGAATGATTCATCATATTATGCACATGCATATAGTAGCAGGAGAGAACAAACAAAACAACAGTACCGCCACTGAGGAGAAAGAAAAAGAAAGAAAGAATTGTAAATATAATTTTTTTTGTATTTGCTGATACAGTGGATGTGAGCAGATGTCTCTGTGTGGGTGAGGTGTGGTGATTTTGAATATGGGTAGAGTTGGTAAGGCCTGAAGTTGATGCATTTAGTGGGTCGGTTGACTGAGGTCATGGTGGTGATGATAAAAGAGGTTTTGAGTTGATTAGTACAGCTTGATCAAGTGGAACTATTGCTGTTATTTTTGGATTCTGATCAGATGGGAGAACAAATGAGAACCGCAATAACCAGCCTATGAGGCAGTGTGAAAAGATAAGATTTTTGACATATGGTTCTTCATTTGCCATTAAAGTGGATGTGTAAGGAAGGCAATTTTGAAGGAAAGTGAGTGTTAGTAAGGCCTGGAGTTGACAGATTTGTCAGGTCGGTTGACCAAGGTTATGGTGGAGACAACAAGAAAGGTTGATTAGTGAAGCTGAGAATCTGATGCAAAGGATACAAGTGGAATATCTCTATATAAGCATAGTGTGAACTTTTGGAGGAGGGTGTCTCTCAAGAGGATATGTGTGTCAGGTCAGTTGACTGAAGCCACAGTGGTGACATTGATACCCCGCTGGATGGAATGATAGCCTGTTGGCCACATTCTGTGCTAGTTATTTATGAGCAACAAATCTAATGGATCCTGCTCATCTTTTTTCTTTAGCAGCAATATTCATGTTTGGCTTCTTTTATGTTGTATTATAGATTTTTGTTGGGACTTGTTTTGTGGGCCGGATATGATATTGAACTCCTAAGGTTTTGGAGATAGACCCCCCCCCCCCCATAACCAGATATATTCTGAAACTACATTGTCCCGGGTACTTGGATAAGTATATTTCATTTTGATCAAAAGGGGTCCCCTCTGGGGACTCCCCACCCTCCTCACACACACTGGAAATTTTTTCCCTTTGATTTAATTTAAATTTAAACAAGGGAATGATGCCTATGCAAAATAAAGAAGGTGAAAGCCAGAAGATGGAGGTCACATTGGCAATATCATTTTGTTCAGAGAGGGTCTCCGGTGGGTGAGGGGCACAAACCCCCAACTAGAAACTTTTTCCCTTTGATTTAAATTAAATTTAAATTTGAACATGGGAATGCCTCCTATCCAAAATATAGAAGGAAAAAGCCAGAAGAAGGAGGTCATATTGGAAAGATCATTGAGTAATATTGAAATACATCATTTTTCTTCATAAATTATAACAATGATTTAAAATCAATCATCATTTTCTTACAAAAAAATGTGTGACATGCAGGAAGGCACAGGTAATACAGCGAGTTATAGAAAAAACGAAAACATTTATGTCACAACCTAATAGTTTAGATCAAGTTTATGAAAAAGATTATTGATATATTTACAGTTTTAAACTCCTGAGAACTTGTTCCTTATAATTGTTACTGTTATATGTTTTCCTTTTTCTTACCTCTTGTTTTTTAGAACAATATTCTAACAATATTCTGAAATAAGAATGTGTCTTTTTATTGTCAACAATGTGAGGGAGAAATGGGCAGAGTATAATAGAATAAAGTTAGATTTCTTGCTGGTTGAGGGGAAAAACTGAACTGCTAGCCAGAGATGTCAGAAATGACAGAAGTTGTCCCCAAGTGTCACTTACCACCCAGACTACAAGAAAATCCCAGGAATAAACAACAAAATATGTTGGAAACAGGATTTAAGTTCTCATTTCTTGCTGTAGTGTTTATCTTCATCTTTTATTTCCTTGTGAGCTTGTGATGGACATTTCCGAGTTTTTGGTGCAGACCGACCCTGTTCAAATATGGAAGGAGTCCTAAAAATGATTACAAAGGTCTGTACATAATTATTGGTAGGATACTAAGGCTCTCTGACCATAGGTAAGAGAAAGAAAAGTTGATTATTTCTATTTATTTATTTTTATTTTATTTTAAAGTCATAGGCATATATAAACAAAGAGACAGTATGTAAAGACATGAAACTGTTAAGTCTTTTTTCTTTTCTTCAAATTGATGATTTTATTGCTTAGCATAGGGTAAGGGTTGTCAAGACTGAGTGGAGGGATGTATTGTTTCATTGTCTTAACTCAAACTCAGTCAAATTGAATGTGTGTATGTGTGTGTGTACTTAAATGGCACAAGTACATTTAAGTCACTTATATATACATATATATTGCACGTGTGCATGCAAAGTCCGATGCAGATTGTGTGTGATGGACAGAGAATCAGCTCTTTTATAATGTAGATGAAAGAAAGAAAGTGGCTGTGGGCAGCTATGATCACTGAGCAAAAGGGTACTTAAAGAGAGAGAAAGATAGTTTAAAAATAGTGTGAAAATAAAAATAAATATTTATTTTTTGTTTTTGGAAATATATCATTTTAGTCAAGTTCAAAGGCAGTTTGAGACAATTTATGATCACTTTGAGCTAATGATCTGAAGAAAGGCATGAGTCAGTCCAATAATTCGGTATCTAGCCACCCCCCCACGAGGGTTGCATGTGGCACAAGGCTGAGTTTTTATGTGGGTTTCCCGAGCCCGTAGGCTCGGCCAAATAATGCCCGTATAACCCATATAAACGGGATCAGGTTGGTCATTTCTCCCCGAACGAGATTCTGCCCTTCGGTGGAGCCTCGTCCGGGTTCCTTTCTGCTCAGAGGCAGAAAGTTCGACTGTCAAGCCGAGAGTCAGTCCAATAATTCTAGTTTGGTTTAGAGAGGAGGACAGATTGAGTTCTTTGCCTTGGTTGGTAATCAGTCGAGAAGAAGGAAACTTCTAAATTTGAAAATTATGGAGAAGGCAATGGATAACCACTATATTATATTTCTCTCAATGTAGAGTTTATAGATGTTCAAGAAAAAAGATGCTGTGGTGAGCTGTGATAACCTAATATCCAGTACAGACATGATACTTTAAAAGAGAGGAAGAAGGATTGAAAATACTGTACGAAAAAAACATCTTGCTTTTTTTCGCTTTCTTTTTTTAAAGTAAATCCTGAACATCGTTTATAACCAGGTTTGAATTCCAACTGAGACAATTTGTGATCACTTTGAGTGTGCCATGTATTTTCTGGATATCACAGTTTTATTTATCTTCTTTTAGTAATTCTCCAAGTTTTTATCCATTGGGCTATGTCTCTTTAGGGACACATGGCCCAGTAGATAATAGTGTCGGTTGAAGTAATCCAGTGACCTGCCTCAAAGAGTTGAGACTTCAATATCTGGCCACAGCAGAGGTGAACAAAAATTTGGGGAGTTGATTTACTCAAGGGAGATAACTGCAACTTACACATCCAGAAAAGGTCTGGCACATGGAACTAGAACAATCTACCTCAATGGACTAAATAAAGAGTTCATTTTGAAATTCCAACATATATCACCTGAAGAAGGCTGGAGCAAACAAGGTCTGAAATATTGTGAATATGAGAATAAAGATGAGAACAACAGTCCAAACAATGTAAATAGTAAAAGTTATATTAAATATTAAACTATTTTTTTTTTGTGAAAACTATTCACAGAATGTGTTTAATTATTGAATTAATGTACAAACAGAATATGTATTATGACTGTTACTTTTATTGTTTTTATACTAATATTCACCCAATACAAGGCACAAGAGCAACTCAAGGTAGAGGGTTATTTTGTCATATTGTGTGGAAGAAAGGGCAAGAAATGAAGTTCATGGGACTATGCAGAAAAAATAAGGATTCAAGATTGTAGTAATTAGGAAAACATCCTGCTAGGAGTCTATTCCATAAAACAGCAGTTCTTAGGACGAAGGGATTAAGACCTTATCCAACTGAAACACCAGTTCTCGTATGATCACCAAAGGTAAGCAATGTTGACTCTGGTCAGTACCTAGATAGATGACCACTTGGGAATACCAGGTGCTGTAAGCTTGGATGTGCAGATGGTGCAATGGTTAACAGTTTGGAATTGGAAATTCTAGTCAGGTTCATTATATTTACTTACGCGTGAATACCATTGAGAAAGGTATGAATCCACTGCTTCTCCTCCCAACTATGGGTTAATTAGTAGGACTTGTATCAGTAATTCATTATTATCACAAAAAAAATTCTTATAATCTAAAGATATTTTCTGACTTTAAATAACCTGCAAAAGGTTGATAATCTGTAAAAAACAAATCAATCATAGGAAGAAGCCGTCCGAATGGAACTTTCTTCTTACTTTAGGAATACAAGGGGAATGTGGATGATTAGTGATACAAGTTTTACTAATTAGAAAGAGAAGAGGTAGATTTATACCTTTCTCAAGGGTATTTGCACGTAAGTGAATATAGAGAATATAGGAAATTTGAACTTGTCTCTCCGATTAACAATTCTGAGCCATTAACAATTGCACTATTTGCACATCTAAGCTTACAGCACCTGGTATTCCCAAGTGGTTACCCATTTAGATGCAGACCAGGCTCGACGTTGCTTAACTTTGTTGATAGTATGGGAACTGATGTTTCGATGTGATGTGGCCATATAAGATTTGTGTTGTTGTTGTGACGTGGCCTGTTTTACACATGGTCGACAATGATACCCCCCACCATGAAAAAGCAACCTTGGTTTATAGATATTAGAGAAAAAAAAGAATTTGTGGCAAACTATGATCAGCTAGGGTCTTGTACAGACATGGCACTCGAAGGGGGAAGATAAAAGACTGTAAATATTATAAAAATAAAAACTTTTTGTTATTTCTTTAATGTAAATCGTGAACATCATTTGCCGTCAGAGTTGGTTAACGATCAGCAATTAACAATGAAAGTATTTCAATCATAAAAGCATAATCCATGTAGAAAAATTACTTAAGCTTACGTTTGTATTGATGACACGTCCTATCCTGGTCGGTTTGTCACTTCATATTTGTTTTTTTTTCTTTTGTTGTTGGCCTTAACTGATCAGGTAAGGACTATCAAATTAGAAACAGGTGACAGGTGTGTATAGATGTTGCATTAAGACAACACCTCAGCTTTACCTGCTTTGTTTTTCTCACACCTGTTGTAATGTCAATAAATGAAACGCCAAAGTACCTGAAATTATATGGGAATATTTTTTTTTTTTTTTTTTTTGCCACCTCACTAGGAAAAAACAAAATACAGAAAAAAAAGGAACAAAAATTGTCCAAATCAACTCTGCCAACCTCTTTTAGCAAAGAGAAACATTTTTAAATTATACGTGGCCGGAAGTCAAAATTGTACCAAGCGGAAAATATCAGCATAGCTTTATGGTTAGAGCATGTTACAAAAGGATGGTTATATATAAAAATTATATTCACTTAACTTTTATAGAACGTTTTATAATTTATTTTATTAATTTTATATATTATTTTTTAATTCTATATGTTAATTTTTATATTTTTATTTTGTTATTTATTTATAATTTAAATCGGTTAATCAAATTTTATAGATAATTTTTTTATTTTTGTTATATGTGGCTGGAAGACAAAACTTTACTAGACAGAAAATATCAGCATAGCTTTATGGTTAGAGCATGTTACAAAAGGGTGGTGATATCAAAAATTATATTCACTTATTTTTATGTGTTTTTCATTTTTTTTATTGAATTCACTCCATGCCAGGCAATAAAACCACTAAGACAAAAAGAGTTACTGGGTGTGAAAGAATTAGAAAACAGAAACCTTATTAAGGAATGAGAACAACAGAAGAGTGATCAGGAAGACAGTTTTGAAGATCAAATTTGGTGAGAAAGCATGGAGTCAGAAGAGAGTCCCCCAAGTGAGAAGTGCAAGAAAAGAAACTGTTAGCATAAAGCTTACAGTTATATCTAGCCAACTCAGCTGTATATTGGTGAGACCTTGTTGCCAATCTAGCACTGCAAATTTAGGTACCATAGAGGAGAGTCCATCCAAACAATTACCATGGAACTATTTATAGAAAAGACACAGGGAAGCAACTTTAAGGTGGTGGGAAAGGGATTGAGGCCAAGATGCCAGGTCAGGACCAATAATATTGTTGATTCTTCTTTGGATTTTATCAAGAATATCTAAATATATAGTAGTAGCACCAGACCAGATGTGGCAGCAACATTCAAATCATGGACAAATGGTAGACTTATAGATATTTAAGATAGATTCTGAAGAGAAAAATGTTCTAGTATGACACAGTGAACCAACTTTCTTAGCAGCAGACCTAGCAATGGATAATGTCTATTCAAATGTAGATGATCATGGCCCTTCACAAATTCCTTCTTTTTTTGTTTATAATTATCTGCTAACTATCATGAATTCTTGAGAAAGATAGTGGATTCATGCCTTTCTGAACAGCATTAATGCAAAATGAACATAACTGACTTGGCCAGGATTTGAACTCACTTCATTGATCTTCTTTCCACACTGATAATCATTATGCTACTGTTATATAATAAATAAATTGACAAGTTGGCAAAGTTTAACCTTTGTGCTCACAAAAAATGATATTTCAAAAGAACGTTTTTCCTGTTGAATCTGCTATTACTGTATACTACCGAGGTTCTCTTCGCAATGTTTATTTACAATATTATTTTAGAGAAAAAACTATCACAAAGTGGGAAAAGTTTTTGTGCAATGCATTTTGTCCTTTAGGAATTCATCAGACCAAAATGATGTTTATGTGACTACACATGTGCACGAAAAGAAAGGGAATGCTGAGAATATTAAATGTAAATACATTTTTATAAAATATAATTAAGTAATTCATCAAGTCTACAAGACACCTCAACAGAATGCAGAAAGCACTGGACGGCCATTTCATCCTATATTTGGGACTCATCAGCAGTGCGCATCCACAACCGACAACTGAAACCCGGACAGTTATGTTATCAGGCAAACGCCATACCAACTGTTCCAGCCAGCCTCAGTGACGATGAGGTAGTGAATCAGACTCGATATAGCGCCGTTTGATCACATATTCCATGGTGAAACTCATCTGAGTTTCTCTTTTACCCATAGAACAGTGCTCCCACAAGCCTCTTCACTACCTCTTCATCAGTGAGGCCTGTTGGAACAGATGGTATGATGTTTGCCTGATAACGTAACTGTCAGAGGTTTCAATTCTCGGTAGTAGATGTGCACTGCTGATGAGTCCCAAATATAGGACGAAACAGCCGTCCAGTGCTTTCTGCATTCTGTTGGTTTCTTTCAGACTTGATGAATTACTTAATTATAATTATCTCAAATCCTCCTAATTTCTATCATTTTTTTTAAATATATGTTTTGGGTATATAGTTTTGCTGACTTCATAGTTTTTTTTTTTATTTGTGGTTCATGCTTCCATCAATTTTGTTATTAAATATCCCACATTGTGATAATAGACAAATTGCCAAGAAAAGTGAAATGTTGTAAGAACCTGGGATGGTGCTTTAGCATGTGTCCTACTGATTAGTTTCTGCTTTAGTATGTATCCAACCACCACATTTGTACCCGATATTATTAAAGCATGCTAAATATATTTTACTGATCTGTTTTTGCTTTAGTGTGTATCCCACCACCACATTTGTACCCTACATTATTAAAGTATGATAAATGTTATGGTCTGGTTCCTTGTACCACAGTGATAGTCCAAGGTAGAACCAATAAAGAAGAACTCAAACATGGATATGGTATAACACCAATATATTACAAACAAGAATATATACAGAGAAGTAGAAAGTGTTAGTATGAACAATCAGGTTTAGTAGGGAGAACAATGTAGTCTCGACCAGTATCACTATTCCAATGTCTTGTAGGAATTGTTTGAACGCGACTCTGTTTCGGACTGTCTCTGACTGGACTGACTGACTGACAGACTCCTGTCGGACTTCACTCCAGACTTCAGACTGAACTCTCTGCTTCCACTTGAGGCGTAGTATTTATTACGTATGGAATAGTCCATTATGTTATTATGGGTAAGGTCCCATAGCACTAAATATATTTTACTGATCTGTTTTTGCTTTAGTGTGTATCTCACCAACACATTTGTACCTTACATTATTAAGGCTTGCCAAATAATATATTTTACCAATCAGTTTCTGCTTTAGTGTGTATCCGACCACCATATTTGTATCCTACATTATTAAGGTATTGTCCCAACTTTTTTCTTGATATGTTAAAAGACATTCTGAATGTTTTTATTTAAAGGATTCAAATATCTTATTTTGTGAATTTTTGTCAAATTTCTTAATCTATTTTTTTTTCATTTTACATTTTCTAATACAATATTATACTGTAACAATAAATCACATCCTCCTTTCGTTTTTACTTTTCCCTTTTACGTTACTTTATGTAGGGTACAAATGTGGTGGTAGGATACACTGATTGGACAGACACACACTAAAGCAGCACCAAACCTGGACATAAATTTACTGTTGATGATCTAGCGATTAAAGCACTTTCTATACATTTTCATCTTAATAAAATGCTTTCTCTTTTAATTCGAGGGGCTTTTTTAAAATCAGAATTTTGTATTCCTCATGACAGTTATTATGGGTGAGGGAGTTGTAATGAGTCCTGATAAAAATAAAATAAAATATAAACCAAAAATATATAAACAAAAATAAAAAGGAATTAAAATAAGGCACTTTTGCCTTCCTTTAAAACCTTTATCTCTTTCTCTCTCTCTCTCTCTCTCTCTCTCTCTCTCCTTCGCTCTCTAAACTTCTCTTTATATACTTCTCCCTCAACTAACGAGAAGGCAACCCTCAAATAAAAAGAAGAATAGAGTGAACCTGGACGAAAATCGACTGAAAACTAGCAAAAATCAGGGAGGCTCCTCGCATAACTTCCGTTATAAAAAGATATGCAAAAGAAAGGAATTTCAACATAAGAAAGACTTGGATACACTATATATATATATATATATATATATATAACCTTAAAATTTCACTGTCTATATGTACATTAAACGTGTCGAATCT